GTGAGTCGATAGACCATGCGAAGTAACAGAATTTTAGAATAATGAAAACACGAATAAACCGGGAGCTGCACGTCGCTTACGAAAGATGAAGCGTCCCTTGTGTCCCATTTACTCCACATATGATTCAATCATGGGAGCTTGCAGAACTCCTTGTTGGCTTTCCGATGCATTTTTGATCGTAGGATTCCGAGTTCGGATGATAAAAATACGACGAAAATGGATGAAAGGCGCTGACCAAACCCTAAGCCAAAGTCAAGACACCTCTTTGATGTCTCGGCCAACCCGAGACACCCAAAGGTGTCTCGGCTTGACCGAGACACTCCAAGGTGTCTCGACCAAGACGAGACACCCCTTGGTATCTCGGCCAAGCCGAGACACCCCTTGGTGTCTCGACTTGGCCGAGACACTCACAAGTGTCTTGGCCAGTGGCCGAGACACCCACAGGTGTCTACAGACCCAAAAATCAGATTTGACTGTTTTTGGTGGTTTTTTGACCGTTAATCACCTAAATTTGCTTCAACTGATAAAATATCATCCATAAACGTGATTAAGTGGTTACAACTAAGGATAAGAGGGAATCAACCGTTCTTATTCGAAAACAAGGCTCCCGAAGCATATAAATACTGCCCAAGGGCCTTTAATTTTTTAGATCTGGAATTCTCGAGCGTTGGCGAAGCCCTGCTGAATCGAAGATTGAATAAGCATGAATTTCAGAAGAGAGGAGGAGATCGGAGCGAGTTCTTTAACACGAAGAAGAAGAGTTTGTCAGATCTACAGTTCCCGTTTCTTATCCTTGAGATTGCCCTGTTGCGGTGATCTCGAGATGAGTGATTATCTCGCTGTTACCAAGATAATTACTTTGGTTTTTTAATTCCTTCATAAATCAATAAAGCTCCAGATCTGATCTGGTCGCTTGGTAGTCTATGGATATCAATGTCCCCGTCACCGGCCAAGAACCCACGCAAGCAAGAGCCGATAAACGATTCTTATGTTTATTTTCAAGAGAGTTATAATTTTTAATTTCAATATTTGAATTCATTGTAAATGATTAAAGTTGTAATGAAATCGATAATGAAGGCGACTTTCGACGAAAATAGGGATGTCATATACTGATGGAGTCAATGGGCGGAGACATGCCATCTCTGACTGAGAAGATCTAGACCTCATCTCGTGCTCAATCTCGTCATCACCAAATCCATCGTAAGCATTGTCTACAAATATATATTAGGAATATAAAATATCATTACATTACAAATGTAAATTAAGAATTTAATTTCAAAATGATAAAAATAGCAAAAAAATACCTAGATCTGGTGATGCGTCTCAATGTTGTGGTGGATCCATTTGAGATGTCCCCGCAATCTCTAACAAAGTAATATATATGATATGAACATATAAATTTATCAATTGACATTATACAATTAAATAAATTTATACCTTCAATGGGTGAGGATCCATGTAGAGATAATGGACTCCGAGATGGTCGTGAGGACGATCCTATATAAATAAACATAGTAGTAAATATACTACATATTTATATTACAAATACAACTTACTTAAACAAAATTTGAATACTTATACCGGATGATGAACCTTCTCGATCCCGAGGAAAAGATAGCCTCCTAATTATTTGGCTCATCAGCAACTTAAATTGTTAATTTAACATAATTGAAATATTTAATAAATGCATGTAAGATATCAAGTCGAATTTGCGAGGTATACATATTAAAATTGACATTTTGGGGATATGAGTAATTAAGAAAAATTTCTCCCTCCATCTCATTTGGGTCATCAGTATTGTTCGGATTTTCATCAAGAGCAAGCTAAACAAGAGTCCTCGGCTCCTTATACAATACGACCCATACATTCGGTTGCCTAGGATCTTTGGCATAAAAGCACTACGTAGCCTGATTTGCGAACATAACCTTCATATCGGGATATATCTCCTTATCTAGATTTACAAGGTGAAAACCATATGCATCCTTATTTCCGTCTACATGACACTAACGAACCTTAAACATCACATAACTACGTACATTTTTGGTACCGTACACATAGGATATCTCCACAATATCTTCTAATTGTCCGTAATAAATTACATCACCAAGTACCAGATTTTGATCATTGGAGCTTGAATAACATTTTTGAGAGAATGCAGCCATGACCCTCACTATTTTGGGTAACTCTCTCCTCTTCAAGCCCTACCCATTGAAATAAAAACCCATTTAAACGATATCCACTTCATTGTTTAACTGTATAGTGCGGTCCATATGAGTGAATACTTATCTCATCTGGCACTGGAAAACCATCAAATATTTATCTTTCTACCTAATATTGCACATAAACACAAATTAGCATTAAATAGTTAGCCTTATTTATTTCCAAAATTAATTAAAAATATAATATACTTAACTTACTTCAGCTATGACCCACTAGGCAAAATATTTTTCATGAATTTTTGCAATTTGATTTCATGCTGATGCACTAGTTATTTATAACTATAACTCCTCCAAATATCGCATATTGATACAAAAAGTTAGAGTTCAACTATTGATATAATTCAAAATTTTCATATTTATTAAAGTTATTTTTTAACTAGCAGTAATCTTCAAGGATTTCCAAGCTCAGCAATAAGATGGCATGAGCCTGATTCAAGTCTATTCTAGAATAGTCTTTGTTCATCTTAGTACTTCCATGAAAGGTCCCATCTCTATTACTATTTAGTGAATTATTTTATGTATGTACACCTTGTATATACCGAGAGGTAAACATCATACATTCATTTGCCACGTAACGATCAGTAATCGAACCTTTAGGATGAGCCCGATTTCGCATTATGCGTTTCAAGAAATCCAAATATCTAAAGATAAAATTACTATGAGTTGTTAATATAAAGCAATGACATGTTATGTAAATAGACTTAATTGAATTTTAACTAACCTATCCATGGGATACATCCAACGATAGTTAACTGGTCCTCAGATTAATGTCTCAACTACAAGATGATGTGTGAGATGGATCATGATTGTAAAAAATGATGGAGAGAAGAATATCTCCATTTTGTAGAGGGTTTCATTCATTTTTGCTTTTAGTGCCTTAAATTCATCAACATTAGAAGATAACTTTTTAAAAAATCAATAGAATTCAATTATAAATTTTTTTACTTCGTCATCGGGCATGTTGTTACGAAGTGCTACCGAAAGCAACTGGTGAAGAAGGATATGATAATCATGTGTCTTAAGTCCTAAAAGTTTTTGTTCTTTTAGTTGTACATTATTTGAAATATTAGAGCAGTAATCATCTGGTGACTTCACTGACTTAAGAACCTCATAGAATCTCTGCATCTCAACTTTTGATATTATAATACAAGCTGAAGGCAACTCAAATTTGCTGTTGGTGACTTTTTGTGCTTGCAGAGCATGTCAGATGTTCAATGCATTCAAGTCTTGCTGAGCCCTTAAATCATCCTTTGAGTTCTAACAATCCTATAGGAGTGTAGACAATAAGTTCTCACATATATTCTTTTCAATATGCATTACATCTAAATTTTGTTGGAGTTTGAGCTTAAGCCAGTAAGGTAACTAAAAGAATGTACTAAACTTTGTCCATCCTGTCGGCAAATCTTTAGCATGTGTGGCATCTAAACTCCGCACTTGCCTATTTCATTTAGATGTCCTCTTCATGATGGAAGTGTGTCTTAGAGTGAGAATTTCCTCTTTCGTAAATTGGTTCTTTCCGTACTTGAATTTAGGATATCCCTCAAACAAGTGTACAATCTCATCTCCAATCATTTCACGCGGCTCCCCTCTTTTCTCTTCTTTACCATCAAACTTATTTGCCCATTTTTACCCCTGAATTTATGTCCTTTTCATAACCATCTTCTGTTAAACCAATAACACATTTTTCGACTGTGTTGTAAAAAAATGCCTTCGAAGTTCGAAGCACATATAGGACAAGGGAATCTTCCTTTCCTAGACCAACCAGAGAGATTATCATAAGCTGGAAAATCATTAATCGTCCACATAAGAATAGCACGGAGATTAAAACACTCACAAGAAAGTGCATCATATGTTGGGACCCCTTCATCCCAGAGACGTTTTAACTCATCAATTGATGGCTCCATGAACACATCTATGTAATTACCGGGTGTATGCTTGCCCGATATCAATATTGTAAGAATCATATATGATTTCTTCATACAAAGTCCAGGTGGCAAATTATAAGGCACTAACACAATTAGCCAAGTAGACCATCCCGAACTCATAATGCCAAACGGGTTGAAAAATCCATTGCTAGATAGACCAAGTCTAACATTCCCGCAATCTGTGGCAAATGAGAGAAAAGTTTGATCCACATGCTCTCATGCCTTTGCATCTGCTAGATGTCTTAGTTTACCATCACCTACACGTCCTTCCTTATTCCACCGCATATCTTTAGCTATATTTTTTGTCATATACAGTCAATGTAACTGGGGCACTAAGGGAAAATGTCGGATCACCTTCGCTGAAATTTTCTTCTGATGATTCTATGACTCATCTCACGTTCGAGTTGAAGTGCGTGTATTCTTTCTCCATCAAGGCACTCCACACTTTGGAAATTCCTCAAGTTTCTTGTTATCCTTATAATAAAGGACACAATCATTAGGACAAGCATCGATCTTATTGTAATCTAAACCCAGAGCACCAATAATCTTATTTGCATCGTAACACTTTTCTAGTATGATATTCTCTCCATCTAGAATTACCTTGCGTAGTAAATTAAGAAGTATTTGAAAATATTTATCTGTCATTCCGCTCAGTGTCATAATACGCATCAGTTGAAGAATAAATGATAATCTACTATACTCAGTCCATCAAATCACTCAAGTTGCTAGTTCTCATAATTTGTTGCGAATTAGTCCCTCTAGTCAAGCGTAGTAATACTTGTTAATAAACGGGGGAAATTATAAGCTTCAATGGGAAAAAAAGATTACTTATACTGAATTTGTCGTGCAAACCAAAGTCGTTGTAGTATAGTGGAGAGTACTCTCGCCTGTAACGCGAGTGACCCGGGTTCGATCCTTGGCAACGACGTTATCTATGTTCTGGAACAAAATTTTAACTTTTGGGCCAAAACTGCACAAAAAATTTATCCAAACTCCAAGAGAACTTTATCCAAACTATTTTTATCCATTTATTTAGTATTAAATCTATCCAAACTATTTTCATCTATTTCTTTAGTTATTAAATCTCATTAAGCTCTTCTCAAATTTATTAATGATGTATGCAGGCTCAAGTTGATTCGTAAATAAAGCCAAGCGCAATGGAGGTCATTGAATCTGCTTGCATAAAGAAAAATTAATTTTTTTAAAAAAATAATATAGAAATCCTAATTAATTTAAAAGGGCTATGATAAGTTTCGGTATATCATTAGCAATATCAATATGGTTACATGTTCGTAACACATATAATTAAAAAAATGATCTCATCATTGGTCTCTCACCATTTTCTCATAATCTTTACTTTTCTCATCATATTCTCATTGGTCATTTCCCGTCGTCAATATTTGTATTGGCGACAAATTTGATATCCATCGACAATACCCCGTCGCCAATATCCTAATTAATTTTCCATCACATAATTACTGCATGAGTAGGTCTTGAAAATAATATTTTGTTACTAGTGGTCATAGCTACTTCAACTCGGCCACAATATTTGCTCCATTTTGGTCACTTCTGCTAGTACTGTAACTGTGTTTTCCAAAATTACTAGTTTCTACTTTCAGGGGAGTCTAAAGCGGAAAAAGCCCTCCCATAAAAGGTGGAAAGGTAAAACAGAAGAGATGAAAAGCTTCCTTAACACGTACCTATAGCCAAGCCTTCCCATAAAAAGAGAAAAGGTAAAACATAATGGATGAAGCTTCCTTAAGATAAAGCTATATCCAAAAGCCTCTTTCCTTGTTCTTTGTGCTACCTTGAATATTTTTCTTGTCATTTTCATTTTGTTACTGACTCACCATTTTAGTCAACAAACAAGAACTAGAAGCTCGCTCAACTCCATTAGTTTGGCCATTTTCGATAGCAACAAGAAACGAATCTTTTGGCCAGGGCCTCCCACATTTTAATACAAAAAAGCATCCACTTAAACTAGGAGTACATTTTTGGTGGCACTGTTCAATGATTGCTTCACTTGTTCTCATTGTTTAGAGCCCTAAAGATTGATTAGGACTAGGATTAACAATATGCACATGCAAGTTAAAGACAGCATCTATTGACATGAGTCTAATCATTTCTTACTCCTTTCCTGGGATTGACGGATAAATAAACTAATGGGAACCATCTATTTGAGGTACACTTACCACCTATATATAATCTCCAAGGAAGAGCATAAACCGTGTCATCTGCAAAGGGTATGCTTAATAAATAATATTTAACTCCTTAGCATGCAAAACATAATAAAAGGGATTACTGTGTACGTTCTTGCATAACGTTTTGCTAATTGTAAACTACTCGTGATCATGTGATTTATCTAAATCTTGTTTGGAGATTACTGTCTCGGATTTATGGAAGACTTGTCATGCACCTGTCCGTAATCTTCAAACAATGGCTGACGGGCGGACACACCAATAGGACGAGAAGCTCTCGCATATCACCCGTGACTAACACATGAATTATAAAATTAAGAGGGGTAGGTGGTGTCTTCTAAATAAAATGTGGCAAGTGCACAATGTGTGTAGCATGCAATTGTCGATCCCACAAAGAAGGTGTGTATTAGAGAAAGTTCTAAATAGATTCCTGAAAAGTGAAGGGGGGGGGAGAGTATGGAGATTGGTTTGGGTTTGAAAACTGTAAATAAAATGGATCAAAACAAGAAAAGAGAGAGAAAGAAAGAGGAGAGAAAACAAGAAAATCAAAAAGAGAATAAAATCTAAAAGATGAAGCAAAAAAAGAGATGGAGGAAATTAAAAGAACAAACTAGTTATCTAGAATTGAATCCACAATTTAACTCTTATTTGGACTTAAGAACCACTACAAGAAATTACGTCTTTAATGAAGGGATTTTCCTTCGTTAAAGAGCTGAAAACCTTCGTTATTGTATGCCAACGACAGGAAAAACTTCCTTCGTCACCCTTCATAGAAGCCTTCTTCGCTAAAGTATCATGAATGTTATAATACCCATCGTTATAGAGTCTACAACGACGCAAAATATTACATTGTTCATATATGCGATAGTAATTATCACCGTCTTTACTATCTGTGATGGGGACTTTTCCCGTTGTTACTGTAAAATGACGGTTTTTCATTCCCGTTGCTGTTTGTAATGATGGTTTTATACTCTCGTTGTTATTGTGTAGCAACGTGTGACAACCTCGTCATTGAAGACCAATTAATGATAGTTGGATAACGTCGTAAAAGTCCTCATGGTGGGTAATTAGTAACCCATCAATGATGGTGCTTTTCCTTTATTGATATACTAAATACAGTTTACAAAACCATCATTGTAGACTACAAATTTCTAATATACATTAATGATAATTTTTTCATTCATAGGCAACTTTCATAGAAAACCTTCATATTATTCTCAACATGAGAATGATATTCACAACACAAATATATTAAAAATACCCAATAATAAATAAAAGGGAAAACAAAAACTTCATTCAGTAATAATATCAATAAATAAAATTCCATCATCATTAAATATTCAATACTAATAACAAGAGTTAATATCCTAATTATTCCAAAGAAGAATATGTGAAACTATCTAAAACAAATTAAAATAAAATTCTGGAAAAGACACATCCTTTCATCTCTAATCATTGTCAAAAAGATGACTTGAGCAACCCCCTCTCCTAATCTTGGATAGCTTGAAAAATAAAAAATATCACATAATTAAGAAATATCAATTAAGCAAATATTATCTTATTAAGTAAAAATCACATTTTCTCTGGTGCAAGTAGTCAATCATAAAAGTATATAAGAGATTTTACAAAAATAATTATCAAGTCCTGCACATGTTCTCGAGTTTTAGGAGTCAATAAAGTATTTGCCTAAAAAAAAGTTCACGCATAGCTTTCACTTATGACTATAAGTCATACATCCTTTGTTGTTGTTGATGTTGTTGTTGCTCCTGCTCATCTAAGCATTTTTGAAGCATCTGGTTCTTTCTTTTTTCTTATATAACCAACATTTCCAGATTAGATCGACAAGGGAGTGGTTCTCTCAAATCTTTCAAAGTAGACCTGCCACCAAATATAGTGATGTGACCATGAGATTGCTTCCCCCAATTTTTTTTAATTAACATAATGTCTGAAAGTGAAGGGTTTGCTTGTTTGACTTGAATGTTGTCATCCTATAAAAATAAAATTTATATGTTAGTACTATATAATGCATTATTATCAAACTTAAATATATATTCTACTTACATATTTATCTTGATCCCCAATATCTAGTATTTCATTAGCTTTCTTTCAGGTTTCATGTAATATTTTTGCCACATCAAGTGGATTTCTTGACTTGCCACCCTTACTCAAATATTAAATAAAAATGAGTACAACACCGAACTAAAAAACAAAATTGTTTTAAGTAAATAGGAAATTAGTTTTGAACGTATACCAAATCTCACGCAATTTGTCTAAAGGGTTTACTGCCCATGTGGTAGAGCATCTTTTTTTTGCCTCTATTAAGTGTATTTTGTTGGCTTTCTTTCTATACATCAAGATTAAAAGAGAGTTTCAATAATCCAGCAATATACATGGAATAAAATAAATAAAATTAGGAGATTAATACCTAAAATTTTGAGCAAAAATAATGTTCCTTAACTAGCCAATCACATTCATCAACACTCACTCCTGTAGGTTGATTTCTATGTGCAACTTACAATGATTTTTCTTTCACATATTTCTTGTGCATTTCACCACTCTACTTATTCCACAGATCGCACAAGAGTCTCATTACTGAATCTTACTTTTGCTCCATGTCCTTGGCATCAAATTTTATCCTACATCAAATTTGAATCAAAATATAATTTATAAAAATTAAAAACCAATTAAAAAGATTAATTTTGGCCTAATTCTCAACAATTACTTAGCAAATATTTCTATCACGAATAATAATGTCAAAATATCATGAAAATTCTGGTTCAATAGCTCTATTCTGATAAAAAATAATGATCTTTTTCCATCTTGTGGCAAATTATTTAACTTTAGATACTTATTACTGCCACGTGGTGGATTTTTCTTCTTTTGAGGATTATCAGCTGCATACATCATATCATATGTTAGAATCAAGATATAGTTAAAAAATAAATTGATAAAAATATACCTTCTTGTAATTAATAAAAATTATACCTTCGAGATTCATTTAATATTGATCATCACATTGCACTTGATGATTATTTGATTCTACAAAAATTGAGCAATAATTAATCCAACCATAAAAATAAATTTAAAGGTAAAAGGAAATAATAATAAATTTTAAGTCTCATAAAACTGTAAAATCATCATTCTCTTCATTGTTAGTATTTACACTTCTCCTGCGATTTTATGCAAAATTATCCTCTTCAAAGTTTTTTGAATCAGTGCTAATATTTACAGCCATATTTTGTTCTTGCATTGGGTTTTGAATATTCAAAGTCTTGTTAAGACAAGTACGAAGTTGTTCTCTACTTAATGAATTTTTTTGCAAGTGCTTGAAGTCGCTTTGTAATTAATGTCCTGGGTGCTAGAAATTGTGTCCTTTTACTTTTGGAAGTAACTTCTTGAGTTTTCATTTTCCTGCTATGAAAAGAAATTTAATTATTATACACTATGTATGAAATAAATGTCAAAAGAGAAATGAATAAAAGAAAAAGAAATCACGAAGGATGAGCATAATAATAAATACATAGTGCACTAATGTAGAAGGACTTGCCGCAATGTCAAAGCCACAATCGATATAGGAAGAAAAGAAACATTATATGTCTTAAAAAAGGAATTGTTATAGTTAGATACAATTTAAAAATTATCTCAATAACAGACTATCATTTGAGTCCTATTCTTTGATGAAAGCATTTTAATCCTCTACTTGAGTCTTTTTCCTCTTTTTTGAAGTTGA